ACTCTAGGCCAGCAAATTAGATAACCTGGAAGAAATGGGTGCATTCCTAGAGATGTATCAACTACCAAATATGAACCAGGAAGAAATCGAAAACCTGAACAGACCTATAGCCACTAAGGAAATTGAAGGAGTCATCAAAAATCTCCCAATAAAAGCCCAGGGCCAGATGGCTTCCCAGGGGAATTCTATCAAACATTTAAAGAAAAATTAATACCTATTCTCCTGAAACTGTTCCAAAAAAATAGAAATGGAAGGAAAACTTCCAAACTCATTTTATGAGGCCACCACTACCTTGATCCCCAAACCAGACAAAGACCCCTTCAAAAAGGAGAATTACAGACCAATATCCTTGATGAACATGGATGCAAAAATTCTCGCCAAAATCCTAGCCAATAGGATCCAACAGTACAGTAAAAGGATTATTCACCATGACCAAGTGGGATTTATCCCTGGGCTGCAAGGTTGGTTCAACATCCGCAAATCAATCAACGTGATACAATACATTAACAAAAGAAAGAACAAGAATCATATGATCTTCTCAACAGATGCAGAAAAAGCATTTGAGAAAGTACAGCATCCTTTCTTGATCAAAACTCTTCAAAGTATAGGGATAGAGGGTACATATCTCAAGATCATAAAAGCCATCTCTGAAAAACTTACAGCCAATATCATTCTCAATGGGGAAAAGCTGAAAGCTTTTCCCCTAAGGTCAGGAACGTGCAGGGATGTCCACTCTCACCACTGCTATTCAACATAGTATTAGAAGTCCTAGCCACAGCAATCAGACAACAAAAAGAAGTCAAAGGCATCCAAATCGGCAAAGCGGAAGTCAAACTCTCACTCTTTGCAGATGATATGATACTGTATGTGGAAAACCCACAAGACTCCACCCCAAAACTTCTAGATCTCATACAGGAATTCAGTAAAGTAGCAGCATATAAAATCAATGCACAGAAATCAGTGGCATTCCTATACACCAACAAGACAGAAGAGACACAAATCAAGGAGTCGATCCCATTTACAATTGCACCCAAAACCATAAGATACCTAGGAATAAATTTAACCAAAGAGGCAAAGGATCTGTACTCAGAAAACTATAAAATACTCATGAAAGAAATTGAAGAAGACACAAAGAAATGGAAAAACGTTCCATGCTCATGGATTGGAAGAACAAACATTGTGAAGTTGTCAGTGCTACCTAGAGCAATCTACACATTCAATGCAATTCCCATCAAAATACCATCCACTTTTCTCAAAGAAATGGAACAAATAATCCTAAAATTTGTATGGAACCAGACGAGACCCCGAATAGCCAGAGGAATATTGAAAAAGAAAAGCAAAGCTGGCGGCATCACAATTCCGGACTTCCACCTCTATTACAAAGCTGTCATCATCAAGACAGTATGGTACTGGCACAAAAACAGACACATAGATCAATGGAACAGAATCGAGAGCCCAGAAATGGACCCTCAACTCTATGGTCAACTCATCTTTGACAAAGCAGGACAGAATGTCCATTGGAAAAAAGACAGTCTCTTCAACAAATGGTGTTGGGAAAATTGGACAGCCACATGCAGAAGAATGAAACTGGACCATTTCCTTACACCACACACAAAAATAGACTCCAAATGGTTGAAAGACCTAAATGTGAGACAGGAGTCCATCAAAATCCTAAAGGAGAACACAGGCAGCAACCTCTTCGACCCCAGCCACAGCAACTTCTTCCTAGAAACATCGCCAAAGGCAAGGAAAGAAGGGCAAAAAATGAACTCTTGGGATTTCATCAAGATAAAAAGCATTTGCACAGCAAAAGAAACAGTCCACAAAACCAAAAGACAACCGACAGAATGGGAGAAAATATTTGCAAATGACATATCAGATAAAGGGCTAGTATCCAAAATCTATAAAGAACTCATCAAACTCAACACCCAAAGAACAAATAATCCAATCAAGAAATGGGCAGAAGACATGAACAGACATTTTTCCAAAGACTTCCAAATGGCCAACAGACACATGAAAAAGTACTCAACATCGCTCGGCATCAGGGAAATCCAAATCAAAACCTCAATGAGATACCACCTCACAGCAGTCAGAATGGCTAAAATGAACAAGTCAGGAAACGACAGATGTTGGTGGTAATGCGGAGAAAGGGGAACCCTCCTCCACTGTTGGTGGGAATGCAAGCTGGTGCAACCACTCTGGAAAACAGTATGGAGGTTCCTCAAACAGTTGAAAATGGAGCTACCCTACGATCCAGCAATTGCACTACTGGATATTTACCCCAGAGATACAAATGTAGGGATCCGAAGGGGTACGTACATCCCAATGTTTATAGCAGCAATGTCCACAATAGCCAAACTGTGGAAAGAGCCAAGATGTCCTTCGACAGATGAATGGATAAAGAAGAAATGGTATATATACACAGTGGAATATTATGCAGCCATCAAAAGGAATGAGATCTTGCCATTTGCAACGACGTGGATGGAACTGGAGGGTGTTATGATGAGTGAAATAAGTCAGTCAGAGAAAGACATGTTTCATATGACCTCACTGATATGAGGAATTCTTAATCTCAGGAAACAAACTGAGGGTTGCTGGCGTGGTGGGGGGTAGGAGGGATGGGGTGGCTGGGTGATAGACATTGGGCAGGGTATGGTATGGTGAGCGCTGTGAATTGTGCAAGACTGTTGAATCACAGATCTGTACTTCTGAAACAAATAATGCAATATATGTTAAAAAAAAAAAAGAAAAAGATAGCAGTAGGGGATAAATGAAGGGGAGTAAGTCGCAGGGGGAGACAAACCATGAGAGACGATGGACTCTGAAAAACCAACTGAAGGTTCTAGAGGGGAGGGGGGTGGGGCGATGGCTAAGCCTGGTGATGGGTACTAAAGAAGGCACATTCTGCGTGGAGCACTGGGTGTTATGCACAATGAATCATGGAACACTACATCAAAAACTAATGATGTAATGTATGGTGATTAACATAACAATAAAAAATAAAAAAGAAAGAAAAAAAGAAAATGCAACCACAAAAAAAAAAAAAAGAGTTTAGAGGAGAGACAATCTCATTCCATTTAAAGAGGCAGTACATTAGTGGTAAAGAGAGGATAGTCTAGAGACAAATTGTCTGGTGTCCTGACTGGGTGATCTTGAGAAAACTGGTTAACTTCTTTGAATCTGAATTTCTTCATCTGTATGTTGAGAGTAATTATAATACCTTCCTTAAGCAGAACTGTTCGGGATATTTTGAAGATAAATGACAAAAGTCATGTTAAGAACTTAGCACAATGGTAAATGTAGTAAGTGCTCTCTACATATGAAATTCTTACTCTTTCAATTACCATTTTACTATCACAGGAAGAGACAGAGGAGAGAAGCTCTAACTTAAAGTGGAAGTTTTAGGCAGCTGATAGAGCATGTAGGGAGATATAGGAGCAGGAAGAGCAAAAGAAAATAAGTACTTTCAAGAGGCTTGAAAGAGGTTTGACTAGGGCAGATGAGCTTTCTGGTGAGAAAGAATTCAGAGATGTAGTGCAGTTAGCTTGTGGAGGGCTTCATGGGCAAGGTTATGGGATTTACGACTTATCCTAAGGACATCTGGAGGCTGTGAAGGTTATGAACAGGTAGGAGAAATAATATTAAACAAAAATAACTGGCAACATTTCATAAGCACTTGAGAATTGTCAGGGTGGTTTTAAATACTCTGTGTATATTAATCCATTTCATTTATACAATTACCCTATGAGGTGAATTAAATATTAATAATTGACCTTGTAGTGATCCATAGCATTCAGAGTACTTTCTCAGACAGTATTTAAGTTGTCTTTCTCAACCATGCTCTTAGGTGGTCGAGCCCAAGACTCAGGGACAGAGGAAAGGATATTGGCCAGATTTGAAGGGGTTGGAAAACTATAGTTTGCAGGTCATATGTGGCACACTGCCAATATCTGTAAATAAAGTTTTACTGAAACCCAGCTGTCTCCATTCTTTTGTGCATTATCTATGTCTACTTCTATGCTACAAAGAATTGAGTACTTGTGACAAAGACCATATAGCTGGCAAAGCTAGACCATTTCCTGTCTAGCCCTTTATATTAAAAGTTTCTCAACTTCTGGTCTAGAAGAGTGGAAAGATCTTAGACTTTGCTTCCACTTTGAGCTTTGCCACTCTAGGTAAGTAGGCTTGGGGAGTCTGATATATGAGTATTTGGAGTGGTTTCTGTGGACCCCACTCAAAAGGATGATGAACAGATAACATTGAAGCCTAAAGTCTTAAAGATGAATTGTCCTAAAACCACAGATTCTAATTTATTATGAATCTGATAAATTGCATGGGACAAATTTGTAGAATAATCTTTTTTTTTTCCTATTAAAGCTAAAATAAGAAGAAATAAGCAAAAGAGGAGGGAGGATTTACTCAATATGCAGACTGGTCTCTTTAATAGGAGTTTTCAATAGTTAGCCAATATAGTCCCTCATAAAATATTGAGTAAAAACTATTAAATTTAGCCAACCTTCTGTACAAAACTCTTACCATAGCATCCTCGTGGGGTCTAATGTTAAATTACATAATCCATAACAATCTTTGTCTGAATCGCAAATTCCCTTGCCATCTATAGTACTCATTCTAACTCTCAATTATCTAGTCTTTAAAGTGTCTCCTGGATTATCCACATATATCTCTTCAAAATTATAAACATAGTGAGGGCCAAGACCATGCCTTCTACTGCTGTGCATTTCCCACAGCTCTGAAGCGAAATGATTCATTGAGTGACTGAATAAAAGAATTCCCTTAAAGTGCTAACAGTAGGTACAGTTATGTTACTATGATGATTTGTCTTTCTGTTGGGTGCTTTGTATGAATTAGCTCTAGTCCTCATAGTGCCGCGTAGTTCTTCATAGCCCTCCGGGCTACACGGTAATAGGTCCAGCTTAAAAAATGGGGAGTGATCCGAATTGTAACGAGCTGGATTACCACTTGAGCTTTTCTCCATGTAGGTATAGGAAAGTGGTTTCCAACAACTGCACGGACGGAGTGAGAGAACAGTACACCGCCAAACCGCAGAAGTGTCCCGGGAAGGCCCCACGGGGGCTGCGCATCGTCACTGCGGATGGAAAGTTGACAGCAGAGCAAGGGCACAATGTTACCCTCCTGGTGCAGCTGGAAGAGGTGGGACCAGATCCCCAACCACTTTATCTTCTGGGGGCAGTGATTTTTTCCTAGGAAATCAGATTTGGTGTATGTGTGTTTTTGTTTTAATTTTTTTTTTCATTTTAAATGTTGACATTTTTAATTTTTTTCTACTCTTGGCTCCTTGGTTTGTTGGTGTCGCTCTTATTTCCCCTTCCTCAGCTCTCATTTCACTGCAAGTTGTTCTTCACTCTTACTTAATGTATCATTTCTGGGAAGTTCTTTTTGGATTTAACTATGCGTCAGTGGCATTTCCAGCCCAAAGTTTTCTCAGAATACATTAGTGGTATTCCAAAAATAATTTAGTGCACACACGTTCCAGCCTAACAGATACTGGGGCTGCCTTCCTGTCTCAACATGACGTCTTGGCTTTTCTTTTCCAAAGGCAGCATGCTGGTCATACATAAAACACTAAGGCTAATCTAAATATAATTGAGTATGCTTTCTTTGGCGATTGAAAGTTTGTAATTTTGTAGCATCTCAGTGATATCATTATGAGCATCAGTGACTGACAAATTATGGTTATCTGAGATTTCTGAATATTTCGGTAGTGTATAAAATGAAATTTATACCATGTATTTTTAAATATGCACAAGCGTTTTTATCATCTTATAAATGAAGATGTTCTCTGAAGGATAAACAATTTCATTAAATGATCTCAATTATCAAGCCAGACAGTCCTGTCTTCAGCCCTGTCTTCTGAGTACTAAAATATGGGCAGCACCCTGCTAGGCCTTGTGAACACAAAGGGATTTAAAAAGTTAATGATGATACTAGGATTCAGATCTACATCATTGAATTCCAGCTTCTTCTTCTGATAGCTCAGTGGTTTTCAGTCTTTAACATGAATAAAAATTACTTGGTGAACATGTTAAAATAGTTTTCTATTTGGAGATTCCAGAATCTCCAAAGATTCTGATTCAGTAGGTTGGGTGGGGCCTATGAATATGCATTTATAATAAGACTATGGGTTATGCATTGTGTCCCAAGAATAAACAGAACAAAACAAGAGCAAAGTCAAGAGGGATAGAGTAGCCTTTAGAGGCTCTGAGTGTGACTTGAAAGGGAAAAGATGAAGCATTTAGGATTACTTTGTCAGGATTGATCAACATTATTGGTATTTTAATTCCTCTAGGAAAGACAACTGTGAAATAATGAGTTTGAAATTCTGGCTCAGACGATCCTGATGCTTAAGGACCGCTTAGAGAATCATCCCTATAACCTAATACTCCTTTCTGTTATCTCCTTAATAAGTGCCTTTCAGCCATACCCATTCTCCTAAATACAAGGTTCCCCAAAATTCTTCAGCTGGAAGTAGAAAGATACAGACCAATTTAGGCCAATTGGAGTTGCTCGCATTTCACAGAAATAAAATCTTTAGGCTTCTGCCTGAGGCTATGACATATTAGCTTGCAGCAAATCCAATATATATGTATATATTTAGAGCAGGAGTAAGATTCTGAGAGAGAGAAAGAGAGACATGAGGAGGAAGCAGAGCAGGAGAGAATTGTCATGAAGATTTGGGCAAACAGAACCCTTTTCTTCAGAGACGGGAAATTCACTGTAGCGGTCCAACAATTCATGCTGTATTTGCCCACAGTGACTTTGCCAATTCATACATCACACTGTAGAAGAGGTCAGGTTTCAGATTCCCAGTTAGAAGGCCAGACAGAAAGTCTTGGCTAAACAACTGGCAGTAGGCTCATAAGGCTGGGGAGATAAAAATTGACTTCAGGTCAGATCCCAGAGAGAAAGGAAGCATAGAGAAGTAGCACCGTGTTCTGTGCATTTTTTTCTCTCTGAGCTGTGTGGTGGTATCTTAAGTGATACAAGCAAAAGTCAGGTATAGTTTTTAGAAAGTATTACATAATAAATAAAAATAGGAAATAAAAATTAGAGCTCAGGGACTAATTAAGAAGGAAAGCCCTGGTGAATAATACAACACTAGATTCTTGAGACTTCTGGAAAGCTCCATCCTAGGAGTGAGGACCCCAGAACTAGATTAGGTTCTCTAAGTGCTGAAACCCAATCTGGAATTATTTCAGTCTCTGAAGGGGTTAGAGTGATTTTCCCCCACTCTAAATCTGCCAGAAGCTAAAATGAATCCTCTTTAGAGGAAGATAACATAAATCAGAAGCCTTACCTATATTTTTTCATAGAAAATGTTGGGTGTTTAATTTAAAATATTATATATATATCAAAGAACAGGACCAGGAGGAGGAAAAAAGCATCAGAAAAAAGAACAGTTGTCTGAGATATGATTAATATGTTCATGAATATAGGTTAAGACAGAAAATGCAGCCCTCCATCAGTCATCAGTAGGAGGCAGTAACAAATGGAAGTTGTAGAAATAAAGATATAATAACTGATATTAAGGGGCACCTGGGTGGCTCAGTCAGCGGAGCCTTGGAGTCTTGGTTTTGGCTCAGGTCATGCTCTCCTGGGTGGTAGGATGGAGCCCCAAGTCAGCTCCACACTCACCAGGGAGTCTGCTTGAGGATTCTCTCTCCCTCTGTCCCTCCCCTCCCCTCTCTCTCAAATAAATAAATAAATAAATAAATCTTTTAAAAAATAACTGGTATCAAGAAGTTAGGTGGGTTGACAGCCCACTGAACCCAGATGGATAGAGAGTCCGTTAACTGGAAGAAAGGACAGTTGGAAGTATAACATTTGAAACATAAGAGAGAAAGAATAGTAGAGAAAAGAGTAAGAAGAGACATGTGGAAAACAGGGAAAGGGCCAACACATGTAATTGGAGGCTGAGAGGGGAGAAGGAAGGTAAGGAGCCAGAATCTGTTTTGAAGGGATAATGTCTAAGAATTTTCCCAAACTGACAGGAGGTATCAGTGTATCAATGTAGGTTGGAAAGAATCCACAAACCCCAAGCAGGATATATACAGGGAAAAAAAAATGGACTTAGGTATCATATTCAAACTATTGAAATCAAAAAACAAAAAGAAAAATTTAAAAGCAGTGCATAAGAAACTGGAATGACATCTTTGAAGTGCTGGGGAAAAACACAAATGTAGAGGTAAAATAGAGACATCTCCCAAACAGAAACCGAGCTGAGTCGTATAAGATGATTTCTATAAAAAGAAACACTAAAGGTAACTCTTCAGGCATAAAGAGAATGAACCCAGATGACAGCACAATGGTGGAAAGAATGAAGAGCAAGAAAGAGAGCATATATGTGGGTAAATTGAAATTAATAATAACTTTGCAGACCAATAATGATAATCCACTGTGGGTTTAAATATATATAGAATTAAAATACATGACAACAATAATTCAGTATGTATTAAATGGAGTAAAAGTGTTTTAAGTTCCATGAAATGTCTGTGAAGAGATAAAAGTACTAATTTATATTAGATACCAGCATGTCCAGAATATGTGCTTTAATATCTAGAGAAACAGCTAAAAGAATAGAGAATATTTAACTATCAAGCTATTGGCAGGGAACTGGAATAATATTAAATGTGCCTCATTAATACCAAAAAAAAAAAGGCAGGAAAGAGAGAAAAAGGATCCTACTTACAGTTGAGACTAATAGAACAGATACTGAAATGGTATATATAAACCCAAATATTATCATTAATTACACAAGATGAATAATTAGTGATTTTTGTGGCTTACGTAGGAAGTCTGTGTCTAACCCAAGATTGTGAAGAAATTGCACCACAGGTTTTTTTCTTTAGCTTTCACATTTAAGTCTGTAATCTATCTTGAATAAAACCAAGGTTTATGTAAGTTTTTCCATTTGCATATTCAATTGACCCAACACCAGTGAAAGACAATTCTTTTCACACTGACTTGCTTGCTATGAGTCTTTGTCACAAATCAATTGAACATATCTGTGTGGGTCTACTTCTAGATACTTTATTTTGTTCTATTGGTTTTGAATTTTGAACCTGTGTTAATTGATAAATTTAAAGCACTTTTTTTTTTTTTTTTTTTTTTTTAGAGAAAGAGCATGGGAACAGGAGGTGGGGTAGATGAGGGAGGGGTAGAAGGAGAGGGAAAGAGAATCTTTTTTTTTTTTTTTTAATCTTAAAGCAAGCTCCACTCCCAGTGCAGAGCCCAACACAGGGCTTGATCTCATGACCCTGAGATCATGACCTGAACCGAAATCAAGAGTTGGACACTTAACCAACTGAGTCACCCAGGTGCCCCTAAAATACATTTTAATTACTCTAGATTCAGATTAGCCTAGATAAAAATTCTCTGAACCAAAAGAAGATCGTACATATATGTGTGTGTGTGTATATATATATATACACATATATTATACATTATATACAATTATATATAATATGCTTTTTAATAGCATAAAAACAGTGCATACTTACAGGAAAACCTAACACCTTATTTTCAATATCTCTACCCAGAAAACTACACCACATTTGGAAAAATTTTAAAAAACATAAACATATGGAGAGATATATACCATGATTGTGGATTGGAAGATGCAATATTACGGAAAGATGCCAATTTTCCCCACATTGATCTTATATTCGAGGCAATTTCAGTAAAATCTCCAGGATATATTTATGGGTTAAAATTGACATGATCATAAATCATATGAAAAAGCAAGGGCTCAAGAATAGCAAAGATAATCTTAAAAATGACTCCCCAAACTGGATGGCTCACATTATCAGATATCAAGATTTATTATAAAGCTACGGTAATTAAGAGTGTGGTGATGTATATATCCTACATACACAAGCTAATTAGGAAAGGGAATAGTGAGTCAAGAAACACACACACACACACACACACACATATATACACGTCTACACACATACTCTATGACATATAAGACACTGTAGTAACAGTAGATCAATGATAATTTTTTCAATAAATGGTGTGATGACATCAAAATCCATGTGGGAATATATGAATCTTGATCGCTCTCAACACAAAAAATAATTCCAACTGGAATAATTTTGAAAGATTAAAGTGTTTAAAGGAAAATGCAGAAG